CTGCGGGTCGGCGCCGCAGCAGGGGTTCCCGGCCAGCCAGAGCACGCGCAGGCGGGGCAGGCCCTGCAGGTGGGCCAGCTCGGCCAGGCTGCCGATGCGGTTCCCGCGCACGTACAGCTCGCTCAGCCGCCGGCAGCCGCTCACGGGCTCCAGCGTGGACACGGCGTTGACGCTGCGGAGGACACAGGGCGCCTGGTCAGGGAGCAGCGCCTGGCGGGGGCAGGGGCGGGGCCCTGCGGGGGGGCGGGGCCAGGCCCAGATGGCCGCGAGGCCCCGCCCAGCGCCCAGGCCCCGGCACGGCCGGGCCGCAGAGGGCAGGCGCCAGAGAGGTGGTGTTCCCCTCGCGGCTCCCCCGAGCTGCCTGCACCCCCGGGCTGCTCTTCACGGCTCCTGCCGACACTCGCGGCACCACGGGACAGCAGTCCAGCAGGGCTGCCACAGAGCCGCATGGTCCAGGGACCTGGGCAGGGCGAGGAGGGGCCGGAGCCTCCGCGGTGTGGTTCTGGCTGTGTCCCCCCAAACTCACATGATGAAATCTGACGCCCGAGGTGACTGCTCAGGAGGTGGCCGGGCCAGCTGTCAGGACAGCGAGGGGCACGTGCGCCCAGAGGCAGGGCTGCCCACGTCAGGTTCCAGGCCAGGCCCCAGGCCAGGCCCGTCTTGGCACCACCCTGGACTCAGGGCGGAGCCAGGGAGCCGGCTCCCACTCGAGGGGTCCCCCGGGCCCTGCCCTTCCCCCACCATGCTGGCCAGAGCACCTGCCTGACTCCAGCTGCTGCGCAGGGCCACGGTCAGCGCAGACAGGAGCCCATGGCCACTCCCCACTCCGTGCTCCCAGCTGCGCGATGGACAGCCAGGCCTCTGTGGGGCTCATGCACACGTCACTCGGGCCGGTCCCAGCCGTGACACACAGGGCGGGCTGGACCCTGTGGGGCCAGCCCCCGAGGTCTGACCAGGCCTGGCCCAGGCGGCCCGGCGGCGACGTACCTGAGCGTGACCACTTCCAGGCTGGGCATCTCCCGGCAGATGGAGATCTGGAAGGACAGCGGTGAGGCAGCCAGGCCCCCGCGGCCCGGGCGGCCGGGGTGCTTGTTGTGGTTCGGGGCTCGCTGGCTGCCCCCCCAGAGGCACTGCGCTAGCACAGTGGGCACACCGGCCTCTGGCCAGCAGCTTGGCCACCTGCTCTGGGGCGGGTGGCTGGAGGCCGAGGGCGGGAGCAGCCACGCAGGTCTTGGGGTGTCCCAGGGGCGCAGCCCCGCCTCTGCACCGCCCGGTGCTGGGGGTGCAGGCAGGATCTGAGCTGAGTGGGGAGCCCAGCACCGCCACGGACCCCTAAAGTGCACCGGGGCCGGCTCGCTCACCCCCACCCACCGCGGGACCAGCTCACGGACACCACGGGCCCCGCTGGCGGGGCGACGGCTCTGGGGAGCGGCCCTGGGGACGCCAACGTGACACTTACGTCCGTGAGGCGGCTGCCCCTGGGGAGAAAGACGCGCGTTAGCCTTGCGAGCCGGAGCCCACCGGCCCCAGGGGCCAGGCTCACGGCCCAGCCCTGCTTCCCGCAGACCCCGCAGGGCCAGCTCGGGCCACATGCGGCCCTCGGCGCCCCCGGGGCCGGCGGACACGGCGCTGCACAGGCGCCCGGGCTGGTCTGGCTGCCCGGGGCCGGCCCTGTCCTGTCCCCCCAGAGGGCGTGGCCGCCCGTGTTGGGGGAGGGGCCTCGGCAAACGCCCCCTTCACTGGGGCTGTGGGGACGGGCAGGCGCGCGGCATGGCCGCCCGGGGGTAGGGGGCCGTCCGGGCCTCAGTTTGCTTTCTCCCCCCAGCGCCCGCACCCACAGGCGCCCCCCAGAGGGGCCCGCCCCCTGCCCCTGCGCCGGGCGCCTGGGCACCGGCCGCAAGGCACGTCCACCTA